GCTCTGAGTAATGCCGCTCGTAGTGCCGAGGATCCACGTAGCGCCGTGTCCCAATGATCCTCCAGCTGCTGCGTCCAGGACTCTACCACTCCAGACCGCATTCGTGACCATATGCGTATTGTCATAGGTAGCAGTCCCAAAACTCTATCACCTCCCGCAGGTTGGCCTGCGATCGCTCCAATGGTGCCGAGTACTTGTGGGGGCCACATGAGATAGCTTTCGGCGTCAGCGATGATGTCCAGAAAGTCTACCTTCGCCTGGTCTGGGAGACGCTCAATATCTAACGGGCCAATTGCGTCGATCCCTCTTGCCTTCTTCACTCCCATGCGACGTGTCGCCGCGTTGAGGTCCTGGATGGTGAGTTACGGTAGTTCTTCCAACCCAGCCTGTTGTCGGCAACGTTGGAGAGCTTCTGCAAGTTCTGCTTGTCTGTGGGCTGTGGCGGTCCACTTCTTGGCCCAAGTGTCACTCTTGTGCATCCAGATGAGGACGGGGTCCGCCACTAGTTTGCCCGAGATCATCTCCTCGAGTCGCGGTTGTTGGTTGTATTTTGTCCATCGGTGTAGAGCACCTGGGGTATTCTTCCACATATCCTGCGCCCACTTGATGAAGCCCTTGGCGCCGTCAGCCATTGCACGCCTCGCTGCGTGACTTGCCAATCTTTCTGTGATTTCAATCACGTCTTGTCGCTCCTGTCGTACTGGGCTGAAAATATCGTGCGCCTGCTGCTGCCACTGATTGAGGAGCTCGACGTCTTTGTGCTTGCAGACCGCGTGCACCTGCAGAATGCGTTGCCGAAAATCTTGCTCTCTCTGCTGCAACTGCTGCGGATCCCCGCTGTTCTTGACCAGGCCACTGATTGCGACCGCTTGCGTATGAGTGATCGCCCACCAATCAGCATCGGGGTAATACAATTGTGGTCTGCCTGGTGATGCCGTGCTTACCTTCCATTTGGTATCAAAACCTGGCGCCCTGCCACGATAACTATCTCGTTGATGCGCTTGTACTTCTGAATGTTGTAGTGCTGCCTCCTCTACTGTCGTGATCCACTTGCCGTAGCTGTCCGCCCAATAGTGCGCCAGTCGAGGGCGCTCGCGATAGGCTTGCAGCTGCCATCGCTCCCATCGTAGTTGAATGCTACCAGACAATCCCCTTTTGGCGCGCTCCCAAGTGTCGTCGCCGATGTAGAAGGAGGTGATAGAAACCGCCTCCGTCCGCGTAACTAATGCCGGGGATGTGCCCAGAACCTCTGCCTCTGGGTCCTGTTGAACACAGATCGGATCCGTGTCGTAATTCTGGAGCCAGAGCCTCTCGTCGCTGTTGTAGTCGCTGTTGCTGCCTGCTCCGCTTGCCGTTGATGTCCTTCTGCTTCTTCGGCCTCGGCTCAGATGGTAAACTTTTTGGGGTGTCCATCATGCGGTGCCACCAGCGCTGCTTCTTTCCAGCCATCCGTATCCGTAGCCCACAATGCGTGGCCCACGGTGCCGCGAGCTCCTTGGAGATGGCGAGGCCATCCTTGAACCCTGCCGAGGCCACTCCATAATCATATAACGAACCTTTGCCTTTATCGCAAGTCACCTCCTCTGGGCCCGTGACTATCTCCCCTCGCATCTGCTCTATCCACCCTGAGGCAAGTAGTTCGCTAGGAACGCAATTCCAATCTGCAAGCACAAGCCATGGGTCTTTCTGCAATCTGACGAAAGCTGCGAGGGCTGCCATGATTTTCCGATTCCTGCCCGTGAAGTTCAGTTTCGGCTGCAGGTACGCCGCGATGAGGATGAAATTGCCGATGCTGAGGTGGAGTACCATTGGGGAGAAACCCACGCAGGTCGCGTCGCCCTGCTTGTCCTGCTTGCTCTTCCAGTGCTCCAGCGAAGTGGCCTGGATATGCGTGCGCGTGGCGACCATCTCCCCAGCCGGCAGACCTTTGTGCGACTTGCCACTGGGTACCGCGGGGGTGATCGCTGCCTTCCAACCTTCCTTCTGCAAGAACGTCTTCATAGCGGTCACGTCCGCTGGCCCTTTGTGGGTCTCCACGAACGCGATGCAGTCGAACTGCTTGCTGTTGGGGCCCTCGATGTAATTCTGCACCTGAGGGCCCCATTCCGTGATGTTGCCGAAAAGAACCTGGAACTGGTCGCTCTGCTGGTCGGGCGTCGGCTCGCTATACCTGCGACTGGCCAGCACCATTAGCAGCATCAGCGCCTTTATCGTCCACTTCGCGAGCCTTGCGCCTCTCAGCGCGGGCCTGCTCCAAGGCCACTTGATTGGCTTCTCGGATCTTCTGCTTCTCCTCCTCAGGGTTGAGGGTGCTCGAGCCACTGCTGCAAGGTGCCGTCGCTGCCGCCGAACCCGCCGCCGCCTCCGCCGAACGGGGCTCCTCGTCGACTGCCTCCGCCTTCGTGCCGTCTCCATCTGTTGCCAGCACCTTTCGTTTCTTCTTGGGGGCTGCCAGCGCCTTCTTCGCCTTCTCGTGAATTTCTTCGATGTGCTTGAACTTCGCCTGTCGCGTGCCGAGCTGCTCCTTTTGGAACTGCTCGAGCTCTCCTTTCCACTGTATGATGCGGTCCATCTCGTCCTTGGGGATGTCGCACTCCTCGAGGCCTTCGAAGAGCTCGTCGTCGTACTCGAACTTGACCTTGAGGGTGCCGCCGCCGATCTTATCCTCTGGCTTGACCACGAGGATGCCTGATTCATGATTCGCCTGTTGAAGGGCCAAGAGATGCCGTTGTTGGACCTCGACGCGCTGCTGCACCAACTTCTCCATGTAGTCGTTCTGGTCGTCCAGGTACAGCTGCGCGTCCGTGAGCTTCTTCCTTTGCTTCCCGATGCGATGATCGAGGTCCTTGAGCGCGCGGTTGGCCTCGCCCAGGAGCTGCGCACCCGTGCGCTGCTTGGGCGGTGCTGGGGCCGGCTTGGCGTATTCCTTCTCCTCCTGGGCCTTGCGGCGCAGCGTGTCCAAGGCGGCCGTGATGGTGGGGTCAGACTGGTCGCCGACGCCCTGGTATGCTGCCAAGCTCGCAATGAGGGAGACCGTGGTGAGCGGGTCGGGCTGTCCGAAGTCGCCCGTCGGTTCCTGCGCGTTGTCCCAGCCTGCCGCGTCGCCCTTGTGGGTGGAGGTGGAACGTCTCCGCGGCGCCCACTTCTTCCATGACCGTCCTGAGTTTGACCAACCCGCAGAATGCTTGTCATTCTGTGCCCAAGCTCCTGACGGTGGTGGTGGGGCGCCGAAGGTGGGGAAGAGCTTTGCCTTGCACTTGAAGCACTCGGTCTTACTGTTCCAATTCCACTTATATCCACACGGTTTGCATCCCATATATCCCGCTGCATTCCCACTGCCATATCCCATGCCGCTGCGCACTGAGAAACAAGGGTGCAATCGCGCGGCGGCCGCGCGGACGTGCTCACCTGCGGGCAGCAAGTGGCACGCAGAGACCTGGGGCGGACCAGGCTCTGCAAAGCAAGCGGGGTATGCCACGGACTAGCGGTATCCAGTTCTGCCAATGCGGGCTCAGCCCGCCGCGGCATCAGCCTTGAGCCAAAATGGCGACGGAGGAAAAAGGAAAAAGAGGAGGAGGAGGACGAGGTCGAGGAGGAGAAAGACAAGGAACATGACGGGGAGGATGAGGTCGACCCGATCGAGGGGGAGGACACGGACGAGATGGAGTGGGAGGAAGAGGCGAAGGACGTGGAGGTCGGCAGGAGGTCGACGAGAAGGAGGAGGAGGAACACGCTAGCACCCTTCCCCTCTCTGCCCTTCCTCCCGCCCCCCCCCCCCCCAGGTGCGGAGGAGGGCGCGTTGGCAATGGAACCAGTTTTGCACGTGCTATGTTCACACACGCACACAATTCGGTTGCCCACTGTTGGCGCGGGCGTTCTCTTTTGTGGCGGGCGGCCCACGCGTTATACGACCCGTCTTCGCTGAAAAGTACCAACTTCTCTTGTAGAGCTCGACCTACCTGTTTACAATCCAGTGTTTGCGTTAGCGGTTTCGCAGCCGCGTTCTCCAAAACTGTGTACTTGCGCGTTGTGGGTATGTATGTAGATGGAATGCCGAACAGACGCCGCACGCACTTGCAATGAAAAGCGTCCAAACGATCACGGCCAGCGCTCAACAATCATGTGTTTAAATTTATCGCGCTACTTACACTAGGCCGGGCAAAAGCCCGAATTTGCGCAACGCTCTGCAACTGGCGGCTGGATTTATCATACAGACTTCTTTGGCCCAGTCAAGCACCAACACCATTATCCCACAACATCACTGCTACTGTGCCACGTCGATCATGCGCCTCACACGCATGAGTGCGTCCGCAGTGCTAGGCCAAGGACGCAAACCACATTGTGAGTTGCGCGTGCGCTTGTTTGAGTTTGAGCGTGTCAGGTCATTGGTTCGCCACTGGTGCCAAGATCTTGTAACCAATCGAGAGCAACGAAATAGGCCGGTAGATTTCTTGAAGGTCCGTGTTTCGTTTTTGAAGTATAGCAATTCTGTAATAGCTCATCTACATCAGCGTTGCTGACATAAACGACACGAATATCCACTTTCGTTGTCGTGCGCTCATACGTAAAAATGCTTCAGAAATCCGTCGTCCGGCCCTGCACTCTCTCCACATTTCAATTTCGTCAGCACTGCCGTTAACTCATCAATCCGTTCCCAAGCATCGTAAAGTCGGACTGCTGAAAGAAGAACAGCTAAATAGGGAACGGAGCCCGTTCTTGGCCCTGTAAGCGCCTCCGTGCCCCAGGAGGGCAAGAGGAACAACGCTGGAGGAACTGTTTCTTATTTCAGCGTCTTGACTTTACCATTGTCTGGCAAATCCTCTGGGTATCCACATTGCCACTGCACGGGCTCGACATAATCTGCCACCAAAGGGGAAGACTCTGGCTCCACCTCGGGCCGCCTCGTTGATACATCGGCGATTCGGAGCGATCCTGCGACCCCACCTGCTCGGACTCCAAGTGGGAGGCCTAGACTGGCCGAGGACCCCTCTCCTTCATGCCGAAAGGAGCACGGCATGCGCGACGTGCGCAGCAGCGCGCCCTGTGCGGGCAGCCGCAGGCCTCCCTTTCCCGCCTTCTCTCGAACGCCTCGCACACTCTCGCACGTGACCCCACTCTGTCTCAATGGAAGCAGCGCTGATCCAATCAATGACACAAAGCATGGACAAACACCAGTGAGATGCAAACGCTCATGTATATTCGTTGCGGCACGGCTGGAATGGTCGTTTGAACACCGTCTGCTTCTAGCGACTCCGTGCAAGCAGTCGCAACGGAGGCTGGAATCAAAACACTTGCCCCACCTGGCCGGCCACTGCATTCTCTCATTCTCACACGTCTCAGCGGTTTTCCGAGCGTGCCCCTCCCAACACTGCCGGGCGCAAGGGGACGGCGGGATAAAGTAGAGACATGGCCACGAGAAAGTGGGCAAAGAAGATGAGCCCCTCTGTTGATGGTACAAGACCCCATGGAGACACCTCCAACAACGGACACTCCAAGGTGGAGAGCACGAGCACGACGAGCACGAGGGCATTCATCCCAGAACTGAGGCTGTCCTGCCCCCTTCCAGCCGCAACCTTCCAGAGTTCCGAGCGGATGTCTTGGGTCAGCCCCAGAGCCCCTCCTCCCCGCTTTCTGGGCGCGCCGAAGCGGGGGATTGGCACGCCGTGGCCCGAGCCCCCTCTTGGAGCGCCCCTCGTGAATGCTGCGCATGTCCGCACGCCGCGTCCGCGCCCTCGCGGCCTGGACCCCAGGGCGCGATCCCGCGGATACGCTGCCCACGGGCCCCGACTGCCAGCGACCAGAAACCCCCCCGGCAGCGAAGACACGCGGAAAATACATTCGGATGAAGATCCGCCACCGCGCCTGCACGGGGCGCGCGTGTCCGATGCTCACAAATGTTTTCTTTGGCCGATCGACCCCCTTCGAACCGACAACCCCTCGAACACCGCCCCCCCTCTCCGGAGTCGATCTTGGGATTTGTTCCATACACAATTATGTTCGGAATAGTGAGGGCCCGAAAAACAGCCCCCCCGAGGAGGATCAATAAAAACTCCCGGGAGGGGTCAAAATAGGCCCCCCCCCAGGAGCGCCCAAGAGGGCCCGATAGTCCTCACGAGGCCCCCAAGACGCTCCAAGAGGCTCTGAAGACTCCAAGGGGCCCCCAAGACATCCCAAGAGGCCTCCAGGAGGCCCCCAAGGCGCCCCAAGAGCCCCCGAGTCATCCAAGAGATCTCTTGCCCACGAATGCGGCTCGAGCCTTCCAAGTGATGCCACGCTTCCCCAATTCCCCTGGGCATCGTTCCTTGATGGGCTGGTGGGGATACGCGAAGCGTTGAGAAACTGCTTCGCTGTTGCACTAGCGGCGGTGGCGGGATGTGCCACATGCAGCCGGAGCCATTTGGGAATTCGCGAGAACTAGCGGGCCTGGAGGATAGATCGGGCGCAAATGCACAAGGCGGGTTGCAGAACGTGCCATCGCTCGAACGTCCGTTCCCCGTGCCTTGCTCGATCTCGAGCGTGGCTGCTTCGCGAGATGACTCCTCCATGGTCCCCGCCGAAACAAAAAAGCACGCACACGTCCGAGCGATGCTCAGGGAAACACTGAACTTTGGGGCGGCCAAGGGGGGGCGTCAGAGAAGGGGGGGTGCAAATCATGGCCAGCGGCATGTGCGCGGCCCAGGGGGGGGGGCCAGGGACGTGTTGAAATCAGAAGAGGCGCCATGAAATCAGGGGAAATATCATGGCCCACGCCATGCTATCCCCCCTCCCCTAGTCACCACCCTCCCCTTTGCCGCCCTCGATGAACCCCAACAGATTGCCATCTCTTGGGGGCGCATGCTTGACTCACGCCCGCTGGCCCTGCTTACGCGGGCCGCCGCCGCTCTAGCCCGCAGCCGCCCCGCCGCGGAAGAGTCCACAGCTCCTTCGGCCCTCGAAGGCGGGGCCCCCTCCTGTCGGGGATGGACAGACCCCCCTTTAGTAAAACGTGGTTTAGTGAAAACGATCTGAGGTCCAAACCTGGCGGGCGCAAGACTGGAAAATAACGGCCACGGCGCCCTCTCGAGAACCGAAAACGGACAAATCACTAATCGACGTGTCACTGTTGGGGGTTCTGTCCACCCCCGATCCTGGAACGCCTCACGTGGACGAGCAGACACGCAAGACGAAGACAGGACGAGGACAGATTGGGGCGGGATGCGTCGAGCGAAACTCTGAGCTCCGGCGCCCGCGGCGCCCCTGGAGGATGTCTAGAAGGAGCCGCGGCCCTCTCAGAGCGTTCCGGAGCGCCCTGAGAGCGTCCCGGAAGGCTCTCCTCGTCCTGGCCACGTCCGAGTACATCGGCGCTACGAAAATTTTGACCCGTTTTGCGCTTTCAGCGAAACGACGAACCTCATTTTGCCGGAAGCCCTGCGCGGGAGCGCCATTTCGAAATCGAGGCAGAAGGGTTTCGACTTCTATTTTTGAGGAAGCCTGGACACCGATGGACCAGCGGGGCCTGAGCCCCGCCGAGCGGCGACCCGGACATCGCAGCAGCCCGCTGCCAGCGGGGACGGGGAACCGACGGGCGGGGGCCCGACGGGCAGGAGCCGATGGGCACGGGCGGGGGTCGCAAGAACCAGGGGCAGGTGGGCGAGCACCTGATCTCGGTAGCGTCGCGAGGGAGCCAGCCCGCAGTGATCTACGAGATGTCCCGGGTGGAGGGAAACTGCTGGTTTTGGGGGACTCCAGGGGGCATTCGGTGGCTCTGAAGGGGCTCGTGGCAGTTCCAGGCGCTCCACGAGCAGCATCCCAACCCAATATGCGTCCCTGATCGCCAGGTCGCGAGCAGGGAGGCAGGGTGAGCGAGATGGTGGAGGCAGCGGCGGGGGGGGAGGAGGGCGAGGAGGAAGGGGGAGGAAGGGACAGGAGGGCGAGGAGGAGGAAGGAGGAAGGAGGGAAATGGAGGAACAGGGCAAAAGGGGGAGGAGGAGGGCGGCGGGCGGCAGAGGCAGGAGCGGGGGGTCGAGGGTGGGGCTGGCACTCACGAGGAAGGAGGGGCGCGGAAGGGGGCCGCAGGATGACGTCCATACATTCATCGGCCTAACCCGAGGAACGATGAGTAAGGAACGAACCTCCTTTTTCTTGTTCAAGGAATAGCGCACAAGGGGCGATACATATAATAGTAGATAACGCAAAAGGAGCGATAAATAACGCATGCAAGCCTAAAGAATGACCGGGCCCCTTTTGAAAAATACATGTTCCTTGTTCAAGCCGCTCACTATATCTACCTCTTCGCCGGTCTTCCCATGTCTTCGACGTGCGCGCTGGGGAACCAGGAGGAAGGTCCGCGCGGATTTCTTGGATCGGCGCTGGACCTCCATCCCTGGCGCGCAGAGCGCGCCAGAGGTGCCGCCGAAGGCGCCGCCAGAGGCGCCGCCAGGGATCCCCACCGCCGATCCAAAAACTCGGCGCGGAACTCCGAACGTTTATGTCCACGCCGCTCCTGTTTCGAGGAACCGCGCTCGCCGGTCTCCATAAGTTGAGCAGGGACCGACCGTCCCGGCATTCCTACAGGCCTACCATGACATGATTTAGAACCCAAAGATGTCCCAAGAACAATAGCAATGTTCTTAGAACACAAGCCCGGTGTGTTGAAACACGACGGTCCCAGCCAGACATGCTCTGATAACATGTCGTGCAGACCACAGCATGCTCTTAGCACACCGCTTGGGAGGCCAATGGGCACGCCAGGACGCTTCGCCACTGCTTGAATAAGAGTACAGCTCGCGAGCGTGGGCCGCGGCCGCCGCGCCGCGCGCGCAAGGGCGGACCTCCTCCTCCTCCTCCTCCTCCTCCTCCTCCTCCGCTTCCTCCCCCCACTCCTAGCCCTTTCGATCAGGGTCGGCGGCTCCGGCCGTCAGGACTCTCCAATAAGAGTACAGCTCGCGCGCGCGGGCCGCGGCCGCCGCGCCGCGCGCGCAAGGGCGGACATCGCGCCGAGGCCCCGTGGCGGCCCTGAGGGGCGCCGCGCGCGCGCGCCCGCGCGGGTCATCGCCCGCGCCGGCGGTCCCGCGCGCAGCAGCTGGACTGCCCCCCCCCCCCGAATGCACCACTGCTTGGGGTGGGGGGGGAGGAAGAGGAGGGCGAGGAGGGGGAGGAGGAGGACGAGGAGGAGGAGGGCGAGGAGGAGGAGGAGGACGAGAAAAAGGAGGACGAGGAGAAGGAGGAGGAGGAAGAGGAGGAGGAGGACGAGGAGGAGGAGGTCGAGGAGGAGAAGGACGAGGAAGAGGATGGGGAGGCAGATGAGGTCGACGAGGTCGAGGAGGAGGCGGAGGAGGAGGAGGAAGAGGAGGAGGAGGAGGAGAAGGAGGAGGACGAGTAGGGGGAGGAGGGGCGGAACAAGCGGCGGCGGCGGCGGAAGGGCCTCTCGTCTCCCATTCCGCTGCTCAGGCCCCGTGCCATATGAATATGCCGTCCTCGGCCTCGCCCTCCGGCCCCGGCTTTCCCTGTCGGCCCCCCCTGGCAGGATCCTGAAGGAACCTGCGCGCTGACCCGGGTCAAAGCAACCCTGGCTGTGCGGGGGTCTGCGAGATCCCCCTCTCAGGACGCCCGAGATGGGTACGTGAACAGTAGGTACGATGCCCAACGACAAAGTTGTAGCCAGCAGGGGCCCACACCCCATGTAATTAGGTCGCCCTCGCACTAACCCCCGCCCCCAGATCCCCCTCCGATCCCCTCCCTCGGGCCCCGTTCAGGACTCAGGTCTCCTCTGTATATGTACTCTCTCGCTCATTCGCTCTCCCTCTCTCTCGCTCTCTCTCTCTCTCTTTTTCTTTATGTTTGGTTTCTCTCTTTGTTTGTCTCTCTCTCTCTCTCTCCTTCTCTCTGTGTGCTACTGCACTCTCCTTTTCCCTCTCTCTCTCTGTCGTGCGCTCTCCTGATGCAGTCTGTATTTGCGCCCGCTTATATCATACACTATGCTTGCGCGTTGTCTATCCAGAGCTTCCATCAAACGAAACGACGCTATCGCCGCGACGCTGGTCGCATTATTGTGACACATTCGTTTCGACTGCAACGCGCAC